AAATATTTGGCTAGGAACTTTTGAGCTAGTTCGTTCCACGTTTTAATAGATCTAGGTACTAATGAATTCAAGCATATTTTAGCTTTATCCCTAAGGAAAAGGAAAAAAGGTCTAAACCTAACTGTGTCGCTAGAAATGCCATTATAACAAAATGTGGCACAAAGTTCTAAAAACCATGCTAAACATAGATTTGGATCTTTAGACGAGTTTCCCCTAAATTAGTTGTTTTGAACCATTTGGATGATAGCCGGCTCAAGCTTAAAAGTATTGGCTTCTACAACAGGAGTTTGGATACTTAAATGAATTTCCTCAGCTTTAGGATTTGCATAATCTCTTAAAGGTCTTTGTACGTTATGATTTTCATTATTGCTTCTTAATTATCCAAGCTAATGTGTTGATTAGTAGACATTTATTCTTCAATTTACGTTACTTTTTTTGTTTTCATAATTTTCTAATAGTTACTCTAGTTCTGAATCAAAGGGTTCAAGCTTCGTTGGACCTACCCTACACATTCACTTCTAGAGGTTAACTAATAGTTCCTTACAAAAATAAAAACAAAGATACAAAAAAAAAATCTAAATCTAAGTCCTAATAGTTCAACTACATATTCTCCTAAATTCTTCACCATTTTTTTCCCCGGCAACGGTGCCAGAAAAGCTTGACAGCTCCCTAACAACTAACACAATAATTTTGTCTCTCAGCACAGTGCTGAAAAGCTTAAACTTTCCAAGTTACTCATTTAGATTTTTAGATTCAGATTTTATCCTCAATACTAGAGTTTCTAACTCAAGTGCACACACCACTTTTCGTAATACAATGCTCTAAAGATTTAGGAATGTTGATTCCACAAAAAACAATGGAAAGCCAAAGTAGGAAAATCTTATAGTCAACTTAATTTGTTTTTAGTTTGGAATTTTGAAATACTTGAGTTTTGCTAACAAACCTACTACAATTATCTAAAGTTACACCTACAGAATTTAGAACTACACTATGTGAATTGGTTTTGTCAAATGTTAAGGTTATGTTTCCTTATAGTGATAATTATATAGTATAAATGTAGAAGAAATGCGAGACAAGGTAAAATTTTATGACAAATAGAAGTATAAATCCTCTTTACCCTCTTCCGAGCATATAAAGAGGCTTAGTTAAAGTGAACTTAATTCCTTAAGTCCCACTTTGAACCCAATGAAGTTTATCTCCCTATTTATTTTTATCTCCATATAGTGTACTTTGATTCATACCCTATAGTTCAACGTGATTTTCCTAGTCGTTCATGTCGTAGCTCTTCTGATTTCTTACAGGTTCACCATCAATTGACCAGATTAAAAAGTAAATTAAATTTAGAAGAAAATCATCACAATTTTAGAATAAAAACTATTTAAGCATGCTATCCACATTTCTCCACATATACTACATCACCACAAGGAAAAATAAGGAAATTTAGTAAGAAAGCATGGATAAAACAACACCAAAATGCTTTGAAACAAAGAGATCCAACATACAAATGTGTTTCAGAAAACTACAATTCCAAATCACAAATATACTTATCTCTCTCCCTCAATTTGCCTTGACAATGCTCCACCCAAGACTTTGCTCTGCTCCTGTAACACTTTACACACCAAAACTTACAAAATAGCTCAACTCACACTCCTAGACTTGCGTAGAACAAGCCTACAACACTTACAAATAAAGGAGGAAAATCCCTTCAAAACTCTCTCTAACCCTAGATAACACATCAGAAATCACCATACACACCTCTTTTCCAACTCCTATTCAAACTCTTCTTCTTCTTCTTCTCCCTATTTTGCCTTAAAACTACTCTGAAACTTGCCCAAAATTCCATGAAGAGATGGCCCAAACTGCTCAAAATTGTCCAGATTTTGGTAGTGGTGCCTAGGTGCCACACTAATCTGGTGTCATGGCCCTGACCTTCAGTACAGGGGCTATAATGCCTAGTGGTTGACACCTTTGCGCCAACCTCTCGGGTTCTCTTCTACTTGACTGACACCCAAGGGCCACGCTGATCTGGCCTTGTGGCCCTGGTCTTCAGGTTTGGGGCCATGATGCCCAGTGGTTAGCGCTAACCTCTCGGTTTTCAGGCCTGGCTGGTGCCTAGACACTAAGTACATGACGCTTAGGCGCCTTTTACTTGGTGTTGTGGCCCCAGCCTTTACAGTTGCTTTTTGTTCCAAATTTTCTCCTTTTCGCTCCATATTTCTTCTACTTCTTCATTCATAATGTTTATTATACCTGCAAGAAAAAAATAAAAATATCTTTCTTTAAAGTGTAATTTCACTCAAAAATATGTGCTAAACATAAAGAAATTCATTCAATCTTTCCACACTCCAATCCTCAATGTGCACAAATGACTAAAATTATTGATTTGCACCAGCTTTAATCTTTAGTATAAAATTATTTGAAATTGCTTAAGTATGAAGTGCTTGCTTGTGAGTAGTAGAATCCTGCAAAAGTGACCCAACTGATAAAGATTTGTTTTTTCCACTTTCACATAAAAAGAATACGTCATCAATAAAATCAAATGTTGTGTTACAATTGCCTCCGCCATCTAATATTGAATGATAACTCTGAATATTTATTATTATCCTCAAGCTCTATATTAAGTGAATACATAAGATCTTTGTACTACTTCGTACTGAAATCACCACCTCAACTCTACTTCCTCAATTAAAATGGTTGATCATTTCCAAAATATCAACATTAGTTATGATTTACTTGTAGATTTTAGGTGAAGTGCTGATAAATTGTAGTGAAATTCAAAACCATGACCTCTTAGCGACGGAGAAAATTTTTTGGCCCCTTCTCTAAGTATAAAATAATTAATTATGCTCTACTCGAACTTCATAGTCTTATGATTCCCACTTTTATACTTTCTTCTATTTTGATTCTGAACTTCAATCCATTATCCATCAAATTTATAGGTAAGAAAGTTGCTCTCATTCACATCTATTAAATCTATTTTCAAGAAAAGCTGCAATGACAAAAAATAAAGTATATAAGATTATATAAAAGTTAATTTACAAAAGGAAGCGCATTGAAGATTGAACCACCGACAAATTTAAACATATCAATTTTTGCAAACCATCCAAATGACAAACAAGATTGCTGAAATAATTTAAACATAATCTTAAGTTAATATTCTTTAGATATCATCTTTAATAAAGCTATAATTTGGATAGGGGACTTCTAATGACAATAGTTCTTTAAAAGCGGGACAAGAAACAACTCTACTACAGTTCTTCATGCAAATTACATCCAAATTTTTGTTCTCGGAAGCCATTTCAAATGTTACTGCAAGGTCTTGATGTTTATCAGTTCATACTTACAACCCTACCTACTATGCATGATATGGGTGGTATGTAAATGCCACTTTTCATGAGATATTATTCACTATTTTCTTCCAAATAAAACGTTGACATTTATTAGCTTTCATAAATGAGTTTAATGTGATTTCCAACACTTCTTCATAAGGTATTTGGTCTTTTGTTTTCAACAAAATTTTAGCATTTTGATAAGGTGAAAGTTTAGCGTGATTGAGGATAAGAAGAGATGGAAACACATACAAGATGGAAGCACATGCGAGGTGTAAATTGAAATACTGACGAAACAAACATGTTACCTGAGATTCGAAGCAATGAACTCAATGAGAAATAATTTCACCGCTGATGAAAAATAGCTTGGCTTAACTACATTGCTTGGTTTTCGAGGCAACAAACTCATTGACAAACCCTTTCATCCTTGTTAAAGAAGAACACCGTTCAACCTTAAGCTTGTGAGTGGTCACTGTAAATTTTGGTGAGAAAAGGGTTTCACGAGCTCAGGATGAAGGAGTTAATGGAGGAGATGGAGTGGTAGATGAATGAGGATGGACATATTTTGTGTGGTAGATCAATAATAAGCAAAGTAGATGTTGGATAGATAAATAAGGGGGTTTTACGTGTTATGTATGTAAATCCCCCAAAAAATTATAATGTTAGTCTCCAACTTTCATTTCTAGAAAATCCCTCTGTAAATGTTCAGTCAACGATTATTCTTAAATTAACCATGTATATTGACAAACATATTTTTGTTATTCTATTATAATTATTTTAAAAACTATAGTTATTCAGATATATTACATATAAAAAGATAAAATATTATTTTTCGTCATAAATAAGTACAACACAACAGATTATTCAATCAAACTTCTATTTTTCTATCATCAGCTTGCTAACAACACCTAAAAATAATAACTCCCTCATTCGCGAAAAAATATTACGTCCGGAGTCCGGACGCAAGTACGCCGCCCGGCGTCCGGCGGCGAGCTGCGTCAGGACAACGGACGTGATACAACGGAGTTCCGAGCCTGCTACGCCCTGTTGTATCACGCCCGTTGTCCAGACAAAACTCTGCGTTCAGACTCCGGACGTAATATTATTTCTTCATTCGCACCCTATGGATAACTTCCTTCAAGTGAATCGAGATAGGGTTGAAAAAGTGCGGTAAATCTTCTTAGCTAAAATTCAACCTAATTAATTATGCTTAAAAACTCTTTAATAAGAGTGAGAAATTAGATAAAAATAATTTGAAATTATTAAAAAAAAAGAAAATAACTCAATTTCAAGATTGATTTGGATAAACAACACGTAAACATTACTCCCACTGCTGATTGCGGACGTCAGTTTTATTAAAATTAAGTGCCACGTGTGTCTGTATGCAGAATTTGATTAGCGGATCTCTTCAGATATCCTGCGATGGTCAGGCATCATGATAATATTATAAATCGATGTTGCTGGACTTATCCGATTTTTATCTTTATCTTTAAAATATTCGTTTGCATTATTATTCTGGAAATTTATCAGACCAAAACTTTACCGCAGGAATTTAATTTATAATTTTCCAGTCTAATGTGAATTTGACAACTGGCTAGCGAGCTTGTGCCGGTAGCTAACAGCGAAGTTACTAAAATACCCTTTGGTTGCATTGCTCCGGCTCTCCATCAGCTTCCTTCGGCTCCTCGGTGGGAGGAATTCCTTTACTGCAAATGCTGGCGCTACGTCGGTTTATTTACATCAACGAAGCCCGAGGGCGAACTCCATGGCGTCAAGCTCTGCTTCTTCCCCATCGTCATCTTTCTCTTCTTCTCCTCCATCCTACAGCAGCTACTCAAGCATAATCCATATGGATGGAGATCATCTCATATCCATCCTCCTACTTCTTCCTCTCGAGTCTATTATCTCCTTCTCCATGACATGCAGAAGGTTTAGGTATCTGGGATCATCAGACTCGCTTTGGAAGGAAATTTGCAGGAGGGATTGGGGTGGTGGAGCTGTGGATGCACTTGTTGCTTCCTGCTCCTCCCACGACAGAAGAGAGGTTTCCTGGAAGAGCCTTTATCACAGGATTTCTCAAGCGGGTTTGCTTTCTTGTCGCAGATTGTTGACGAAAGATGGGGTTTCGCCCAGGCCCAGGGCTTCTCACTCTCTTAATGTTGTTTCGGATTGTCTTGTTTTATTTGGCGGCGGATGCGACGGAGGTCAGTCTTGGTTTCTCTCCGTTACATTATGTTTAGCGGTTTTCATTTCTATATGTTTCACTTGCCTGTTTTCGTTTATTGCATGATGATGTGGTACGCTGTTACATGTTGGTTCTGATTCTGTTTTAAAGTATAGTTAATTTTTTTTCTGTTTATGCTTGTTAGTTCCAGTTGAGATTTTCTGTCTCCTCGCTTTGATTGAAAGGAAATTACATGGAGATTTTATGTTCCATTTGATTGGAGTGATGAAATTGTGTGTGTCAATTGCTGTTTGGACTTATATTGTATCTTCCCTTTCACTTCATAAATGTGATCACGGGAGTGCTTATGGGAGCTCAGGATGTCCAAATCAAGACCATAGGTGAACTTAGCATAGTATTTAGTTTATGTGCTCATTATGAGTGTATTTATATTGGCTTTTCCTCTAATCATGTGCAATTGTTTGATTAAGAGGAGTTTTCAATCTAGCAAAATAGGCTACTGAACCAAGAATGATCAAAGTAGATTCCTTTGCTGGAAAAAAAAAAAGAAAAAATCAACCAGGTATTTATAATTGCTTTGGTCTTCTGCACTAAGCAGGTGTTATGTATGCCTCTGAAAGCCTGACCGAATGAAAAGTATTCTGCTCAGAACTGTAGTAGAAAGGAAAGCCAGTTTTTCCTTTGATTCTAACTTTTAACATACCATTGTAACTTAAGGGCTGTTGGATTTCTGCTTCTCTGATTCATTGAATTGAGATGGGAAATATTAGTGTACCTTCTGTTTTGTTCAGCATAACCCAGAGCATGTTGAAGTCAGTTTTTTTTTGCTTGAACTTACTAGATATCATGTTCCATTGTGCTTCATCTTCTTTTTGGTTTTCTTCCTCTTTTGTTGGTGGAAGAGAGTATGAGCAAGAAGTAGAGAGGGAGAGAGAAAGATTCAGGGAGGGAGGGAGGGAGGGAGGGAGGGAGGGAACATAAGCCCTCTTTTCATATGATTAAGCATGTCCAACATATAAGCCAACACTCATATATAGAAGAGGTTATAGCTAAAATACAATAATAACTCTAGTGATAGGGAATACAATAGTATTTTACCAATTAGACGGAGGCATACAACAGTTGTCTTGAGTATGGGTTGTTGGAGATCTATGGTAGGGATATCAAATGGTTACAAGGGACCACAATGCTGCACACATACCTCAACGCCGCGCAAAGGTATGTTATTATCCCCCTTCAAGCTGATTCTCGAGAAACCTTACTGTCATCTTGGACATAAGTAGTTGATGTCGAGTGGTTGAATGAGATTTACCATGGTTGTTGAAGAACGACACTGTAGCTTTGAATGACTGTGGGAGATGTGGTAGGTATGTTAGGTTCCCTTAGTAGGCTGCGTATTCATAAAAACTTGAACGGTAGCTAGGGAGATGGCTCTGTACACGTTTTATGTTGATGATCTTGTTATGATAGGTTGTTTCTTGGCTGACTAGGAAATGATGTTGGAGCTGTGGTAAATGCAAAAGCCTGGTGTAGATTTTCTATCCAGGGGATTGCTAGCCAGTCAGCAATAGTGTAGGCTTGTAGGGTGAGGTTTGAAGGTGTTATGATTATGCCATAGGTGAGGGTGCCTTTGGCGTAACGAAGGAGATTATTGAGAAGTTGATGGTGATATTGTAGTATATTATGCATATGTTGGGTCGGTAATTTGACAGCAAATCTTATATTTGAATGGGTAGTTATAAAGTATTGCAGGGATCTGATAATTTGTATGTATTGATGAGGATTTGGGATAGAGCTCTATTGGCCTGTAAGGTGAGAGGTCTGACTGGTAGAGGGGTTAGGACAGGTTATGATTGAAGCATACCTGATGTACTCAATAAATTGATTAGATAGGTGGTTTGTTGGAGAAAGTATCGGTTTTGTAGGTGCTGAACCTGTAGGTCTAAGAATTCTGTAATTTGCTCCAGCTGCTTGATGCTGAACTGCTTTCTCATCATTTGGAAAAGTTTGTTTATGGCCATTGTGAAGTTGCGAGTGACTAGGATGCATCATAGTAGATACATGGTGATGTGATCTTGTTGATATATAAAGAGAGACTGATCCACTGTGCTTAATTTGAACAGATTAATCAGATATCTGCAGAAGATAGAGTACCATTGTTTAGGATTCTGCTTTAATCGATATAAAGCTTTATTTAATTTACGAACATAGTTTGGGTTTTGGTGATCTATAAGACTTGTGTTTGATGCATGTAAACCAAGTCTTCTAGCTTGCCATGTAAAAAAAGCATTTGACAGTCAAGCTTTTCTTTTGTCAATTGATGAAATGCAGCCAAGGAGAGTAGGATTTGTATTGTGGGAAACTTAGCCACTGTACTAAATGTTTCTTTGTAATCGATCCATGATATTTATTTGTAGGATTGGTTTGGTTTCAGTGTGCCAGTTTTTGAGCATGTGATCGGTTGGTGAGATGGTGGTATTGGGGGGATTGATGGCGGTGGAATGGATTATTGAATGTATTGGTTGTGGATGGATTTGTAGTGTTCTGCTATGTTGATGAGAGTAAAGTCTAAATGCTGGATGGGGTGGACGGTGTTGGTGATTGTAATGTGGACATAAGTAGTAAGGAGGATGAGTTGATGGCTCTATGAGGCGGATTAGGTGGTGATTATGGCTGTTGTTGAGAAGGAAAAATGGATTCGTCGATTATGATTGGAGCTGCTTCCTAAGAATATGCAGGGAGACGATTTGGGGGCAAATTTGTAAGCTGCTGTGGGGTTGTTTCCAGGGAAAACACGAACAACCCAAGGTTCTTAGATGGGCATATTGTTATATAGTAGTTGTTAGGGTGATTGTAGTTTTGTCATGGGAGAGGATAGTCTGTTTATTAAGGGTCTGTTTGGGGCAGCTTGTGCGATTCAGGATAAGCTGCTTATCCTGAAACGTGGCCCACGGGCTGGCCACAGGGGTCGACCCACGGCCTGTGTTTAGTGTAAAAACTCAAACAAACTCAAACAAGTGTAAAAACTCAAACACAGTTTCGGATAAGCTGGCGAAACACGCGAACCAAACGATACGGCGGCATTTTAAAAACGCCTCCTGCAGTTATAAGCTACCCCAAACGGACCATAAGTAGGTGGTTGTTTGAAAAGCTTCGGGCGAGGAGGGAGGTAGGTAAGTTGCATGTAGTAACGTGCGAGTTGTTTTTACCATATGTCTATTTTTACTTTCTTCTAGCCCGTTTTGCTCAGGGGTGCAAGGGCAACTAAATTGGTGTTCGATGCCATGAGACTGGAGATAGTTGCTGAAGTTTTGGGTAATGTATTCACTTCCCCATCGGATCTAAATCATTTAATATTTGTGTTGAATTGGTTTAGGATTAGTTTGTGGAAGCTGATGAAATGGTGCGTGACTTCAGATTTTGAGTGCATAAGATATATCCAGCAATAATGAGGATAGGAATCAATAAAAGGCACATAGTATTTTTAGCTATGAAATGCTACAAGTGGAAAAGGACCCCGAACATCACCATGTATTAATTTTAAAAAAATTTTAAGTCCTAGTACTAGTTACAAAGGACAATTTATGACTTTTGTTTGATTGACAATCAATACATATTTTGGTGGTAGATGGTATTTTAATGTTTGGATGTTCACTGGAGATGACAGCTCTTGAGTGTGGATGACCAGGTCGGTTGTGCCATGTTCATGGGTTAATTGTGGAATGAAGAGCTTGAATTACTGGGTGTGATGGAATTGAGTGGAGACCTTGGTTAATTGTGTGGAATTATCTGTTTGGTGGCTATATCCTGAATGCAAAAACTGGAACATCAAAGGAAATGCAGTAATTGTCATCCATGGCCAGTTGAAACACTGAAATTAGATTGTGTGATAATGTGGTTAGTCGGATTAGTGTAGAAAGATGTAGTTTACGGTTGGTGGTGGGGAGAATTCCATTGCCTATATGTTGTATAGGTGCTGGTTGCCCATTTCCTTTAGGTACTTGATCGGATTTTGTATAGCCTGTTGGTTGCTGTAGGTTGTATAAAAGTGGTGTGAGGTGTGCTGCTGCTCCAGAGTCTAGCACCCAGCCTTGAGCAAAGTTGGTGTTGGTGCTGAAGAGGGCATTGCGTTCATTGGTAGGTTGTGTAGGTTTATATTGCAAATTTAGCTCTGTGCCAGCAGCTAGCAGCTGAATGTCCAGCTTTCAGACAGATTGGATATGTGATTTTGGGTTTGTTCTTGTTTTTGGAGTAAGATTTTGATGATTTGGTATTGATGTGTTGATTATGGGAAGATGGTCTGAAAGTTGGTGGTGGAGTTTTGTTTTTGTTTACAGCAGGTACAGTGAGATTTTGCTGTTTTGTTGCTTCAGTGGCCAAGTTAATTTTTTCACTATGGAGAAGAGAGTAGAAATCATCCAATTTGATTGGGTTGAACTTAGTTCTGATGGCAGTTGAAGGCTTGGTGAGTGAAGGGCAGGCCCATTGAGGTTGTATAAGATGATGTTCTCATTGTCTAGATTTTATCCTGCTGCAGTGATTTAATCGACCAAGGTTTTGATAGCTGTGAGAAATTGAGACAGAATTGGTGCCCATGGTAATAAGATGGAGTTCATTCTTTAGCTGAATGGTGCTCGATTGATGATTGCAAGTGCCTTCTAGGGCAAGCCAAATTGTGGATGTTTTTTTGTAAATGCAGCACATTGGGTAGGATGGTGTTAGATATGGCAGAGAAAAGAGCTGCGTCCAGAGTTTGCTCTATGTGATGTCATAATGTGTGGTCTTGATTTATTTCCTGTATACCAGATTCAGAGATTTTGAATTTGGGTGGACATGGAATAGTTCCATCCAAGAGTGATTCAAAACCATTGGCACAAAAAAATTTGAGAATAATTGTTCTCCAAACAGACTAGTCATTGGTTAAGAGAGGTGATGTAGCTAAGTTTTCATGTGAGACACAGAATTTTAGGGGAGTTGTTATAGCTGAATTGGTTACCTTGGAAAGTGACTGCTCTTAGT